GAGCCGCTCATTAATTCATGATTACACAGGGTTCATTAATGAACAGACGGTAATGAACGGCGGCTTCTTGTTCTGGTGGCGCCCACGCTTCTCCGGTTTGTTAATTATTGTTAATTAGTCATTAATTAATAGTTAATTAATCGGTAGTTAGTGTTAATTAACGGTTAATTAGTGTTAATTAACCGTTAATGTCATCAAACACCAATTACAAATGGTTCATTAATGAACGCACGGTAACCAATGGCGGCTTCTTGTTCTCACGGCGCTTGTGCTCCTCCGCTTTGTTAATTATTGTTAATTAGTCATTAATTAATTGCAAATTAATTGTTTATTACTGACTAATTAATCTGTGTTTAACTAATTAGCCCACAGAAATTAACAGGAATAATTAAGGAACCAGAGCAGGAGCTGCTTGTGCTCCTCCAGCTGATTAATTAATCATTAATTAGCCCTTAAATAGTCACAAATTAATGATTAATTAACCGGTATTTAACTAATTAATGAGAATCATTATAATAATAACTGATAAAAATTACTTAATGAATAATTAATTATATTTAATTAATTAACATTGAGAAATTAACAGGAAAAACCTCTAATGACTCATTAACATCTTGTTAATGCCTCATTAGCATTAACAAGGAAGCAGAACACTTCCACAGCGTTAATTAAAACCTAATTAGCATTGATTAGCATCTAATTCCCTTATTTCATCCCATTTTTTTTCTGTTATCAACTCCTAATTACCCATTAACAGCTCATTAGCATCTCATTAGGATGCGCCACTGCACAAACCTGACCCATGGCATTAATGAGTGCCTAATTAGCATAAATTAGCATCTCATTACCCACATTTCATCCCTTTCCCTTCCTTTTCCAACCCCAAATCAACGACTTAACAGCTCATTAACATCTCATTAGGACGCGCCGCTGCACCGGCCTCACCCGTGGCGTTACCGACCGCCTAATTAGCATTAATTAGCGTTAATTACCTCGGCCTTGCTCTTCCTCTCGGCGGCCATGAGCGTCACCTTGTCCCGCTGCTCCTTGGGCGCCGATTTGTACATGTCCAGCAGCAGCTTCATCTCCTTCTGGTTCTCCTGCGCCTTCCTGCCGCCATTTGCATCTCATTAGCATCTCATTTGCATATTCGCAACCCACCAGGCCCGTCCCTTTGGCTCCACCCCTTTTGTTCCCCGAAAACCCGCCAAAAATCAATATGGAAATGACCCGAAAATCGAGCCCGAATTTGATTTTCTGTGACTACCTTGCTAAATCTGCATCTCATTAGCATCTCATTTGCATATTCGCAACCCGGCAGGCTCGTCCCTTTGGCTCCACCCCTTTTGTTCCCCCAAAATCAACATGGAAATGACCCGAAAATCGAGCCCGAATTTGATTTTCTGTGACTGCCTTGCTAAATCTGCATCTCATTAGCATCTCATTAGCATATTCGCAACCTGCCAGGCCCGTCCCTTTGGCTCCACCCCTTTTGTTCCCCCAAAACCCGCCAAAAATCAATATGGAAATGACCCAAAAATTGACCCCGAATTTGATTTCCTGCACCTTCCTTGCTGTATCTGCATCTCATTTCCATCTCATTTGCATATTCAGTGTCGCGCCCATTTAATTGGCTCCACCCCTTTAATTTGACCCCAAATCCCCCAAAAATTGTCCCTGAAATGAGCCAAAAATCGACCCCAAATTTGATTTCCTGCGATTTCCTCGCCGAATCTACATCTCATTTCAATCTCATTTGCATATTCATACTGATCATGCCCATTTATTCGGCTCCACCCCTTTAATTTGACCCCAAAACCCCCAAAAATTGGCCCGGAAATGACCCAAAAATTGACACCGAATTTGATTTCCTGTGCATTTCTCGTTGAATCTGCATATCATTAACATCTCATTTGCATATTTGTAATAATCACATCAATTTAATTATCTCCAACTCTTTAATTTGACCCCAAAACCCCCCAAAATTGGATGAAAAAGACCCAAAAATCGACCCCAAATTTAATCTCCTGCTTCTCACGCGCCTTTCTGAGAGTCATTTCCATCTGATTTGCATCTCATTTGCATAAATAACCCTCAATCCCCCTCCAAGCCATTGTTAATTATCCCCAAATCCCCCGAAAATGTCCCCAAACCCCCCAAAATCTCCCTAAAATGCCCCAAAAACCTCCCAGGACCCCTCCCCAAACCCTCCGATGCCCCTCATTTGCATCTCATTTGCATAAA